TAGTTTCTTCACTGGTACAACAGTGTGTAACATTAATTAACAGTTCTAAGCTGGATTGGAGCTTGCAAGGAAGTCATATATTTTCTTATTTTGTCCAACTTAATTGAAGTCTGGGAACACACAGACATGCCATTTATCATGAATAAACATATTCTTTCACAAGGATTTTACTCTCATTTTCTCACTGTGGTATCAAAAACATTTCAGTGAGCTTCTACCTGAAACTATAAAACTTCAGATATTCAACCAGTATTATTTTATACTGCTGACTTATTAATGAGAAGCCTGAGCTACTTTGAATGTTTAAAAGCTTGTTTCAGCTGTGATCCATGCACTCTCATAGTGGATTTATTGCTATCTGGGAAAGGAAACAGTTGTACAATTTGTTGCTTCGTTTCCACTTCTTGCATTTGCTACAACTGACTTCCCTGGGTTTTTGTTTGATAGCTCTCGTCAGCTGAAACTAACAATACTTTATGTTTGGACAGCAGCTTCCACTCCAATACCTTTACTTTTTTTACAAAGGCACTCAGGTACTTTGCCGACATGCAGTGTACATTTACTGACTGACTTTTCAGCCACAACCATATAGGGCTTGGGTTTGCCGCAAGACATGATTTCAGCTGGCTGAACCCACACTGCCTGGGAGGATGAGGTTCAAGTTAAAGCCAGCCCTTGACCTATACTTGCATTTCCCTGCTTTGCAAGTCACCTGGTGCATCATCAAAGAAGGGCTGAAACTGGAACCCAAAGGACAAATTAGGGTGCTGAGCTAGTATGACGGTGCAGACAGACTCATCCAGACCTTAGGTCATTTGTTGTCACTTTTTATGAAGAAACCCAACCAAACCACCATGAAGCATGTAGAAATTATTTTATCTGTGTAAAATTGGTGGTCGCACCAGTGATTGCTGCTCTGTGTTACTCTACAAGACATACCAATGTTTTTGTATAATCTTAGTGTTGGCTGATCCAGTCTAAATTCTACAATGTTTCTAGTTACTTTGAAGTTGCTCTTCCTATAAACAAATGCTACCAAAAGTAATACAGATAGAAGTACTTAACTAATTACATTTAAAATTTGTCCTAGTCCTAATATTAAGTAGTACGTACTAAATCTGTTAAATCTATTGTATATGTAAAAGGAAATTCCAGATCATTTTAATGCTGTGTGTTCCAGGGTTACACTATACTACATTCTCATTTGACTTATATTTTGCTATCCAGGCATATCTAAAATACATGGGGGTTTACAATATAAAGGATAATACTCTTGATATAGTATAATTTCCTTGTATCACTGTCGAAGTTGAAATCAATAAAAGAAATTAATGTCAGGAAATGAAGGAGAGAGGAAAAGACACAGAAAAGTTTTGCCATACTGACATTAAGCTCTTAATATTCTGTTCTTCTAAGCACTGTGCAATAATATCAGTTGTTCACTGAGAGCTAATAAAAGTATCACTGCTGAAGTTAAGCTGAGCTGTACAACTGATTATTGTCTGTTTTAATTTTGTCTCACTGGACAGCTAATTCTCTCAGAGGACAACCCTCATTTTTCATAGACTCCATTATTAATGCAAGTGTTAAATGATGACATACTTTTGGATCTGGATTTGGGGCCTGACTCCTGTCCCGTTAAGGCAAGTGGATTATTACTATTAATATGAACAGAGGGCAGAATTTATCAGGGAGGTTTTGCAGAAAGCATGCCATACTCCAAAAAGAAAGATCAAATGAGCAGTTTGCTAAAGGGCAGGGGTTAGTTAAAAGGTCAGTTCCCATCTATAAGCAAAATGGTTAAAGTGTTTAAAATCTACACCACAAAAAATTAGTTAGGCATTTAAGCTGCCAGGTGTAAGAAAATACAGTGTGCATTTCTGTCTTTGCCACAGAAGCTGTCAACACTTTTTCTTGATTTTTTTTTAAAAGTCAATTAATAAGCTAATTTAGATGCTTACTTTCTTTCTTAAGTCAGATACCAAAGATGCTATGGTACACAGTTTAATCTCAAACCTACATTAATTGTGAGGAAGTCTGGAATGAGTGTAAGATTATTTTTCTCTACATTATGCATCATTGTTTGAATCACACTCAAGTTAGAAAACACTTTAGCAAAATCATTACTGTGACTGTGTGAAATTAATTTGCTCTTAGTTTTATGTTGTATCTAACTACTCTTCATGTATCTAGAACATGTGTTTTCCTGCACTCTTAAAATGACTTTTCAGTAAAAGAATTTGAAAGTCACATTATCCATAAACAAAATTTTATAGATCTATATATCTAGATTAATTATATATTTAGCAAAATTTTAAAATAAATTTTGATTGATGGTGTTTGTCTTATAAGGAAATACACTTAATCTCATGAAAAATGCACAGAAATATAATTATGAAATATTTTAACCTGACTTTACCAACACGTAAAATAAAATTATTCCTCTGAAAAGTGAAAGAATCTTTTTGGGAATTTCCCTGACTCTCTTCTGGAAACAGCTTTTCAATAGTACAGACTTCTGAGGCCACTGAGTGGAGGTTTTATGCTTTTCCCTTCATCATTCATTCTCTGCTGCTGAAACAGACTGAACGGGGCTCAACCAAACTGGCAAGTCTTGTCATGTGTTTTGACTACCTGTAAGAAAACATACAAACATTTATATCTGGTTATATTTTTCTCTGCCCTTGGTAATGTTCCAGCTGGTTCTGAAAGACAGGCCTGGTTCCCCACCCTGGGAAGAGTAGATCTTGAATAACTGTAGGAATTAGAAAATACAGGATAGCCTCACACCATGCCTCTTTTTAGAACAGAGTAGCAAGTCTGATATTTTATCATTAATTTTAGAATGCACAGGAATAGTGTTATATAATTATGTTGGGGCTTTTCAGATATCCAGCCTGGAATGTCTAATGAAGAAACACTCCAGCCTTCCCTGCTCTGTGTGTGAGTGTGCACGATCCTTCAATTCTTCCCGGATCCTGATTTTGCATTTCTAACGAAGCTGAACTGACAAAGCGTGAAAGTGGTCTAAAAGGAAAAACAAAGAAAGTGACCCTGCTTTCACTGTGCCAAGGCTAAACAATACTCCAGAAGCTCAGCTTTCCCTCTCTGCTGGTGCGTGGGGTGGGTTGGTTGTTTTTTTTTTTCAGCGCTGGGCTCACAGTCTCCTCCCCTTTCCTTAAGTTACAGTGATAGTAAGTTGCCGTATTCCAGAGCACATGCAGATTGTCAGTTTTCTCCTGCTCGCTCAGCTCTGCAGCTCGGCGGTCTCTTCTGGGCAGCCCCTGCCTTGTCTGCCCCCACCGCGCTCTTAGAGGACAGAGGGTCTGAAAAGGTGAGCCCATCCTGCCTCTCGGTGCGGGTTTGAGTGGGAAGTCTTAATTTTTCATTCTCTGCTTTTGCATGTTATTTAGCGTAATGATCCTTCTGGCTGTACCCGTATTCTTTATTGATCTTGGTGTAAGTTATGCAGGACGGATTAGCTGTGTTAAACAACCTGGAAAGAAAAGGCAGTGTGAATGAATTTTTATATTTTTTTTTACAATATTTACATTAATTGTTCTGAGGAAAAAAATAGTCCTGCTTTTTTCGATAGTCTTGTCCAAGCTAGAATATTTACTAATTTAAATACCTAGCTCATTCTTAGCATGTTTTCACTCTCTAAAGAATTGTTTCTTTATATCGTTCTGTTAAAATTCAGGGAGGATATTGCACTAAAGTGCCGATCTTGAAACATCTGGTAGAAGCAGCAATCAAGTCCCATCAAAAATAAACTTGTTACAACATGAAATTTTATTAAAACTTGCTGGTTGAAACCTCTGTGCTTTTGTATTCTAAGTGGTTCCTAAAAAAATAAATGAATGTGTGTAGGCACTAGATTTTTTAAAAGTAAGATATTAGAGTTGAACCATCTAAAAATGGAGAGAGATTTCAGCAGAAGCAGCACCTAACTCTATCCATTTATTAATTTCTAATTTCTTCATAAAAAAAGCATGCCAATATATTAACTAAGATTTCAGAAAATGTGATTCTCAGTCTGGGAAATACCTTTGCTCAGGCTCCATTGTCAAATAAATTCATATCCAGCAGTCACCAAAAAACTCCCACAATTTAAGATAAAAAAAATCTTAATGAAGAACTTTGACTATTAAAACATTTGAAGGTTGATTCAGCATGTGACTTCTTAAAATCAGAGTATGCCCATAATTGCTATTAGGCCAAACTAAGCATTACTCTGCGATATGAATTTGTATTACAGTCTGAAGGGACAAGTTAAGTGGGATATTACTTCTGATGTCTTACAGATGTGCTCTGAGTGGTTTATAAGGTTAAAAGATGAATGTTGTCAACATAAAACTGTCAAAGGCATATCTTCTAAATGGGGGTCGAGGGATAAATTAACT